ATAGCAAATTGTTAGTCATTTTTTGTACATAGGAAAAGCTCCAGGTATAGTAAATCATTCTTGGCCTGTGCAAATATACAAGCGTATATACTGTAAACAGTTTTAAGGTTCCCCAACTGTTTCTACCTATTGGAGCCCAGATACAATCTTTTACATTTTACCCACTGAGTAAACTTTAAAAGACTGGTTTGTCCCATGAAATCTGATCCACCTATCACCACTGAGGGACATCTGGGATTCATCTTATCTTTTCCATTGGTTTGTTAAGTAATAGAAATTATTTTGAATGGGATTCAAGTATGGCAGAACTCCATGGACCTTATGAATTACAAAAGGGTCAAATAGAAGGTCAGGTTGAAAAAAAAATTGACTAGAGGAAGTGAAAGAAGTTGCAATACTATGGCCAGGATTAGGTGGTGTCTAGGAAGTGAAGATGCAACTTCTCTGTTTATTTTTAAATATCAAAGATGTTTCTGACTATCTTTAAGAAGATGTGTATTTTCATCAAAATGGAGGAAATCTTGTCCTGATTTTGAGGACAAACTGAGATTGCAGGTATCCAGGCTCAGAAACATCCCATGAGCGTTCATATCTTGAAGATCATGCAACAGCCATCTAGGATTCACAGAGTTGTGGAAGAACAGTTGTTTCTCATTCAGTGGCACTTTTCTTCCCTAAAAAGCCATAACGAATAGGAACCTTGAACAACTGCGTAACTGAAAGCAGTCTCTCGATTTATTCCGTTTTTTCTTTAAAGAATATGGTGGCAGTGGTTCTTCGTATCTGTAGGTACTCTCACATAATTGCAAAAAAATAAAAAAACCCTGAAGCAATATTATCTGAATATGTAACTGAGCTAGAGTAACCCAGGACACAACTATACTGCCTTGGCAGTCAGACACCAGTGATGTCACAGGCTGCAAGCCAGACCTCCACCACCAGACCAAAATTTCAACCAGTTCTCCTAGCAGATCTAAATAGCCCATATCAAGATATGTTACCTTAGGTTCAGCACTGCTCTGACTTGTTTTTTGACTTCTGACAGACACAAAATATCATCACTGCCTGTCTCTCTTGTTATGGCACAGGTAGGCATGCTATATACTGTTTATAGGTTACTTTCCCGAGGTGAGACCATCAGATTGTGTAAAATATAACTTCTCTCAAGCTGATGAGGCAATGGTAACTGAAGTTACAGAATATCCTTTACCACCAAGCCCCAACTGCCCATATACACATGCTGAAAGTCTTCTGATTTTTCAAAAGTGAAAAGATTCTGTTAATTTGGAATCTATGATTTCTTATGATCAGGAGCCAGTGTTGGAGAAGTAAAGCACAGAAAGGCTAGGACAAGAGGGGAAGTGGTCTTGAATAAGGGTGTGATAAGTGTTTAGAGCAAAATAACAATTTACTGCTTAAACAAATATGCAATAAAACACTGTGACTATGCCTTATCTACTATTTCAGAAACTAAAACATTCATTTACAAGCTGCAAGCTTATATCTGTATTTCATTATATGATTGCACAAAGCCCAGCACGAAGAGGCTTTGGTCCCCGCTGACATATAATACAAACAATAAATAATAATTTTAAAAAGCCAAAGTAAATATAGACAAGAGATTAATAAGCAGAGCCAAGTTCTGTGCAGTTTTCACTTTTTTTATTCTCTGTAAACTGTTTCTAATGAAGGATACTGTTTGTGCAGTAACATTTCTTAATATTGTCCATTATATTATGAAAAACATACACAGGTCATGCAGTGTTACGTGTGTAGGTACAGGTACATGTGATTTCCTGATTAAAAGAAATGTTCACTAAATAATTCTCTAGTGGAAAGGGATCTGCAAGGCTGCAAGGCCCTGAGGCAGATTTAGAATCTGAGTAGGAGCAAAGTGGTGGGCCAGACTCTCACCCCTTTTTGTATCTGCATGCCAAGATAAGTATGCATGTCTGCCTTTGTGACTGCTTGAATGTATTCTTTCAATGGCTTCAAGTTATACATGAAAACTTTTTTAAACACACGATCTACTATTTAGAGCCATTGTTTTATTTTGATCATGAATCAAAGATTGAAAGTGTTTAACATTTGGTCCTTGTCACCTGCCGTGTCCTGAAAGCTTGTTATGTTGACCATACATTTTTTATTTCTTTGATTTTAAAATAAAATTCTACCAAACAAACATGGTATTGAACCCTGTACAAAGCAGGATTATGCGCTCTGTATGTCGTGTACTTTGTTGGGCCTTTCTGTCTTTGTAAAAATAAAGCTCTTGCAAGCCAGGAAGTTTGGAGGGCAGAGCCAAGCTTGAACCAAACAAGAGAGTTGGCTTGGATATCTGAGACAAGCATAAGCCAAGCCATTAGACCTGACTGTATTTGCTTATGGAAAGAAAAATTCAGAGAAGAGTATGCACCAGAAAATTTTGTGGCAGGAAGTAAGGCCATAGTGTTCCTCAATTCTTTCCTCCTCCATACTGAAAATAGAGCTAAACCAGGTCTGAGGTCAAGCTATAATTGTTATCTCATCCTCTGCTTAGAAGAAGGACAGAAAGTCCTTTTTTATTTTTTTTCTTTTATTTGAATTATATAGCCATGGAGAAATAATGAAACTCAGAAATTTTCTCCTGTTGTTTTCCGTCTGTTTCTTTGTTCTGTGTCAGCAGTTTGACCAGATGACAAAACAGCCTGATTTGCCTATGATTTCTTCTGCACATTATAAAATTAAACTAATATGCATGCAACTTTTACTTTTTATTTTATTTTATATAATATATGAACAGAAAAGCTGTGTGTTTTCTGAACCATCCTGCAAGAAACTTCTGTTACAACTTTGGACACAAACATTTGCTTCCAAAGAGAATGAATGCACTCTGCTTCGTTGCCCTTTGACACATACTGTTCTAGAGCAAGTTTGGATCGGATTCCTTTTCTCCTAGTAGACCTTAATCCATTTTATCTCTTGTAGCAATAGGGCTGTTGGCTAGTGCTTGACCCATGTTGTGCTTGTGTGCCATTAAAGTCAATGACGAAGCAAATTAACTGAAAATTTGCACTCACTTTAGGAAGAAAGCTAACTAAAATCAGTAGCTTCAGGTTGTGGTCATATCTATGAACTGTATACTATAAGAAATATTTGGAAAGGTGTGATCCAACATTGTTCACCATTCAGAAGTACGGAGTGTAGCCTCATTGCTACAACAGAGTGAATGGGAAGCCAGATTGGTTATTCTGGATTGCAGGCAAGAGTATATAAATGATAACTTATCATTTATATACTCCCATTTTGCCAATCTCCCATTTTGCTTCTAGAAGAGATAGGAAAGTTTGATTTTTGAGAGAAGTTTTGTTTTAGACCTCTTTGCTACACAGTGATGCTTTGATGTCATAAAACAACATGCAAACTCCACAATGCTTACTGAAAGGTGCAGTAATCTGCCCTGTTTAAAAGAAGCTTCAAAGAGTTAGCAAATTAAGATGCAGAGAAAGATCTGGTAGCAGAGGTGATCTTTTAAACCTGAGCAGAGATATTTTGCCCAAAAAGCAGCACAACTTTCCAGGCAGGGAAGCTAAGTCTGTGAAATAGGTTATTAAAAAAGTTATTAGAATTTCTATAGTTTGAAAGAGCTATTTTGAGGACAAGCGGAGAATGCAGAAATCCTACAAGATTATTTCCTGATTATGTCGTGTTAATATATGGCAAAATTCTTTCCCACTAACTCTATGATCCACATTCATGTCCCTCCATAAATATGGGATAATGCTTCCATGAGGAACATATTCCCACCTTACAGCAGCAAAATGAAGGTCTGTGGGGCTTTAGTTATCTACCATAGCCATGTTGCCAACAATTTCTGTTTTATCCAGTTCTCAGAATATTTAATGCTTTTCCTGAGGCTGCATTCCTGTATTATGTGGGAAATTCAGGTTACTTCTGAAAAAAAAAAAAAAAGAAAAAACAATGAACTTCTAGCCTTTGTGGTTGATTGCAGAGAAAAACTTGAAAATACCAATCTTCAAGGATCAGAAACTGTTTATTTTGCTTGAAATCATATTTTTAAAGCCTTACTTTCTTGAGTACTTGATTAAATTAATTTCAGTGCTAAATCATGGCAAGAAAATATCTGTTAGTTAGAAAAAAAAAGTCTTATGCTCTCATTTCAGTGAGCAAAATTAGAAAGAAGCTTTTAAGTAACGAGTGGTCTTTGTTTTTTATCAGAGAATAATGCAATGGGGTATATATATCTCTCAAACCTTCTAAAATAATTTTTAAAGGTTTACTCAGCAAAGGGTTTACCCATAAATTACTGATTATTATATCATATTACGATGTTACTATTTTACATTACTGATTATCTTTGCCTCATGTAAATGGAAGAAATACAGATATATATGCCATTTTTGTTGTTTTCTATTGTCTTGTTGCTCTCCCAACTGATGTAGGGCACTGGGGGACAAAAGCTGGAGAAGAATGTTTGAATAAACAAACAATTGTATCCAGTGATTTTTTACTTTCTCTCCAAACAAAAGAGGAAGAGCTGGCTGGAGGAGGGTGGGTGTGCGCGCTCATATATCCACATGTGTACCCAAGCGGGTAGTGATTCAGCAAGACTGTTTCAGGGCTGATGGGTTCTGTGGTTAAGCCATAGATGTGTAAATATGTTTCTTACGTCCCAAGCACATTTAACCATGGTCTGCGTGTTTTTCATTACTTCTGTGAAAAGAAAAAGAAAAGGAAAAGAAAAGAAAAGAAAAGAAAAGAAAAGAAAAGAAAAGAAAAGAAAAGAAAAGAAAAGAAAAGAAAAGAAAAGAAAAGAAAAGAAAAGAAAAGAAAAAAAACTATAAATATCCAGTGTAGTTATAATGATCTCCACCATTTCCATAAGTGTGTTTGTCTAAATAGTCAAACTCCTTAATTGGAATGCTATGAAGTGCAACCAACTATGCAATACTTGTCCCAAACAGACTTACTGACCCCTTTTTTATCTTTGATTTCTCTAGGATTGTCCTCCAGAAGCAGGTGATTTTCGCGCCCAGCAGTGCTCTGCTCATAATGACGTCAAGTACCAGGGACAATTTTATGAATGGCTTCCTGTCTCTAATGATCCTGACAATCCATGTTCACTAAAGTGCCAGGCCAAAGGGACGACTCTGATTGTAGAACTGGCGCCTAAGGTCCTAGATGGCACCCGATGCTACACTGAATCGCTGGATATGTGCATCAGTGGCTTGTGCCAAGTAAGAAGAGAAGTCTTACTCTCATGTCTTTCCTAATTATTTCTTCCCTCAGCTGTCTACCATACGTCTACCGCTTCTCCTACATACTTCTACCTTTATAGATCTTTCTTTTTAACAATCTCTTTTCACTCTTTATGATGTTTTCTATTATATTGTCTATGGAAAGGTAGACAAATTCTGGCAACAAAAATTGCTTTGTGCTGTTTCCCTGATTTTTTTTTTTTTTGAGGAAAGCATTCTCACTGTTCTGTAGTTAGCTCCACTAGCAGATTCCAATTGAAAATATCCTAGAAAAATAATACTTTAAATACTTATTTTGAAATTTGGCAAGTCCAGGAATCTGCCTTGCTTTGAGGATTATTGTTCAAAATACCTCGTAACAATCCAATAGATGAGGCACCAAACTAGGGACTCTACCACTGACTTGCTGCAGAGCTGAGCAACCTGCTAAAGCTCCTGTGGCCTCAGTTTGCCTATCTATTAAAAGTAGGATTAGAGCACTTTCTTAACGACAGTGCATGGGGATCTACCAATAGAATTGCTAAATATTGGCCCTTTGTTTTTCAACTGTTCTTTTTGATTCAGGTGTCTGTTGGTTTCCTGATTTATTTTGTTACTTTTCTAAACTGCTTTTATTACCTTTATGTTTTTACTTCTATATGGCTGTTCCTTTGAAGGAACCAAACTTGTGTCTCCTGAAATGCTCATAGACTGAAGCGCGATTGTAGAGAAAAGGAGGTTTCTTTTGTCTTTGTCTGTGCTTAGTACATCTAAGTCTGAGTTGATCAAGTTTCAGTGCCCAGTCTCACAGCAATAGTGTTTGTTTCCTTGAGTATTTTCAGCCATGTTATGTGTCTTTGGAAAAGCGTCTTCCTTTTTCCATCCTGTTTTGTTTTGTTTTGTTTCTGCTAAGTCAAAACTAGTTTTTCAGTAAATGGAATAGAATAGCCAGCTATCCAGCTAATCTCACCTGTGGCATGAAAAAGAGAATCATCTAGGTCTCTTAATTAAGTTGAACATACAAGTTTCTGAAAACTTCAGTTTGCCTAAAGAGACAGAATCACAGGATGGTTGAGGTTGGAAGGGGCCTCTAGAGATCATCTAGTCCAACCCCCTGCTCCAGCAGGGACACCTAGAGCACGTGGCACAGGGTGGCATCCAGGCGGGTTTGGAAGATCTCCAGAGCAGGAGACTCCACAGCCTCTCTGGGCAGCCTGTTCCAGGGCTCTGTCCCCCTCACAGGAAAGAAGTTCTTCCTCATGCAGAGATGAAATTTCCCGTGTTTTAATTTGAACTCATGACCCCTTGCCCTGTCTCTGGCCACCAGCAGGAGAAGTTTAGCCTCGCAGACCCACATATCTGTCTCCGTGTGTTTTTTAACTTTTTTTTTTTTTTAATATAAGTAGAAGCACAGCAGTCTCATTAGGAAAATCACTTACCTAAAATGGTTAGCACACTTTGAAAGTAATAGTTACTGGTTTTCATAATGCTTGAGGAGTCAAGTGAGCTTTGTAGGTTCAACATTTTCTTATGAGATACTTCAAGACCTGTGTGATTCAATGCACAGCAACTGACAGCTACAATAATATAAAGGTAATGAGTTCTAATGGCTTAAAAAAATGGAGCCTCCTGAGCCTCAAATTCATTCTAAGGTCTTGGAGGTTCAAAATTGACATTATGTTTATTAACAGGTTATGTTAATAGAGTAATTTCAAGGAGTAATTTCAATATGTCAGGGATGCAGAGGTGTATTTTCTGAATTGTTCAAAGTAAAACTACTGTAAAGAAACCTTCAATTTCCCTTCCTAGTGGGCTTGCATTGATCCAAGTATCATTTCAACTTACAGAGGTGTATTTAGACTATTCTAGTGTGTTCTTTTGATTATACCCCTACATATAATTTTCTTTTGCTGGCAACTAAGCAGGAAGTGGTTCAGCTAGAACATTTTATAAACCATATAAACATGCATATTCAATTATAGAGTCTGCAAAAGAATTGTGAATTTGTATAGGTAACACTAATATCAGTGTTTACTTAAATGGACACAATGTGTTTCTCCCAATGGATCAAACAGTTGTCAGCCCTCTGATATATCCAGAGGGCTATTTCTTACCCTATATGATGTGGGTCTGCCTGTGCCAGTGCCTCCAAGCTATTAGTGGTAGAAATGAACAGTTAGTTGCATTGCTTTCTGCACACCTCATTACTCTTCCCAGTTTTCTCTTCCTTGATCCTTTCCCTCTGATTCTCTTCCAGAACTTTGACTCTCATGGGCAAATATACATTTCTACTGAAAATACTGGAGGTGAAATGTGCAAGATTCCTCTTTTATTTCTATCTTTTATTTTCAGTTTTCAAAAGTGCTGACCATTGGATTATATCTTTCTGGAGTTTTGTCTTTGAATTCATATGGGACAGAGCTTGACAGACATTTTTTGAATGAAAAGCTCTTTTCATATTGCTTCCTATTTCTTCCTAATTGGCTTGTTTCTTCTAACTACTTTTAATTACTTTCTGTATGAATCCCTGTGTTATTTCAGTCTGCTTTTTTTTAAGACTACTTTTCATAGGTAACCTTTGAGTCTCATTTTGGGTTTACCTTAGGGTACATTACACCTCGCTTGTACAGTGTGGCTAGCTTGAACAACCACGTTGAAGTCAGCAGAATGCATTTTTGGAGAAATGGAGCTTTAAAATTACACATTAGGAAATTTCTACATAGTTTTATTTAATGGGGATCTAGAGCAGATTTTAAAACTACCCACTTTTAGTTTCTTTTCACATGTTTTAAATATGCTCCTGGCTACTTTAAATCCATTATTGGGTTTTGTGAGGATAAAGTTGATTCCCCATATGGCAGCTGGAGCTGCACAAGGGTTCATATCAATTTACAAGTGCCAAGGCCACATTCTGATCTCACTTTACCAGTGATCCTCAGTTGCATCTGTGAAACTGAGAGCAAAAGCTGCTTATATTTTGAGGAAGCATCTTAGTAATTGTGGAGGAGACTCATTAAGGAATTTTGTAACTGAAGAAAATTGTGCATGCTCAAATTTAACTTACTTTCTCTGTTTTTAGAACCAAAAGTGTACTTTGTGTTAGGCTGACTATTTTAGGAATAAATCCTATGTGGGAAAATTTAGAGTTTAATATATGTGAAAATTTTCCCGTGTCTGAGTTGAGTTGAATGTGTAAGAAGGCTCTTCATTTCTTTTTTTTTTATAATATCTCAAATAATTTTTATTTAAAATCAAATTTGTAATTTTTATTTAAACTTTACATTATCATCACAGCAGCAACAAGGAAATGGGGTCAGCTGCACTAAGCATGTGTTAGAATACTTAATTCTCCACTCTGCTTTATTAAATCTCCCTTAAATGGAAACACCATCAGTGCTTGCTTTCCCCTTTCCTTTCCTTTCCTTTCCTTTCCTTTCCTTTCCTTTCCTTTCCTTTCCTTTCCTTTCCTTTCCTTCCCTTTCCTTCCCTTTCCTTCCCTTTCCTTCCCTTTCCTTCCCTTTCCTTCCCTTTCCTTCCCTTTCCTTCCCTTTCCTTCCCTTTCCTTCCCTTTCCTTCCCTTTCCTTCCCTTTCCTTCCCTTTCCTTCCCTTTCCTTCCCTTTCCTTTCCTTTCCTTTCCTTTCCTTTCCTTTCCTTTCCTTTCCTTCCCTTCCCTTCCCTTCCCTTCCCTTCCCTTCCCTTCCCTTCCCTTCCCTTCCCTTTCGTTTTCTCTTTTCTTTTCTCTTCTCTTTTTCTTTTTCTTTTTTGAGATGTTCTCCTTTTTCTCTGTGTACACAAGCAGAAATGACAGACTGTTCAGGAAGAAAAATGCAATTTGCTGTCAAATGCTGACAGGAACAAACTGAAACTCCCTCTAATTTCTTTGATTTCTAATAATCTTTACTAAAACTTCCAGCAAGCATAAAGCAGAAATAAAGCAAGTCACAATGAAGAGTATTATCTGAAGTCTTGCTTTAAACATTTTGGCCACAGCTCAGGACAACAGTATCCCTTCTGTGAGAAAAATCATGACATCTTCCATAATGCTTACGGGATTTTTGTATTAGAAGGCTAGATTTATAGCCTCCAGCTCCTACTGACTGCTGGTTAAGTGTCAGTAGGAGTCATACTGGCCCAAGAAACTGATGAGATGTGTGTGTGTTATGCAGCAAATGCTGACTCAGTTCATATACCTGCAGAGTTAACAGCTGCTGACTCCCTTAAAGTTCTCCAAAGAATCGAGGGAAAAGAAGATAAAAGTAGTTTTGCCTCCAGTTACTTTAGTATGGATCTGGAATAATTTTACAGTAGTCTAGGATTGCCTCACTGTTGATGATTCAGTGCTGGTGCTAATAGTCCGATTGTTATTAATAGTATTGCAAATTTTGAATTACTTCACATTTATGCTGGAATAATAAAATGAACCCTGTTATAGGTTAAAAGCAGGATTAGACCTAACAATTAAATATTTGTCATTTCTAAAAGCAGATCTTCAGGAAAGTTTGTTAATTACTAAATTATACGTGGGTTTGAAAATACAGGCTCGATGTTTTCTCATACCATACCTTGCAGACTTTTCGACAGTAAAGATAATGGTAACTAAGTATTTTCCTTCACTATATTTCTACATTTACTATTTGCTACATTTGCTACAAAAATGCATTCATTACTACATTTGCTACAAAAATGCATTCTGCTGACTTCAACGTGGTTGTTCAAGGTAGCCACACTGTACAAGGAGGCAATATTGCTTGTCCAACTCTTTGTCCAATATTTTAAGGATGGACAGTTTCTTTTTGTCCCATATATCTTATCTACAGAGTCTTATTGTACTAATCATTGTTCTGTGTCCAGCTCAGTCCAACACATATTTGGGATAACAGCATCACTTGAACACTTTTGTGTTTGGTGCATGTAATCACTAGCACAATAAACCTGCTTGCTACAGCTAAAACCTGATTTGTAAGGAACACTGATTAGGTGGTGATTAGGTTCCTGAAGG